TCATGTATGATATATGCGTGAAGTTTGATTGTGATTGGTCCAGGCATTTTCTAAGATACAGGTCCGGACGCACGCATGCATGCACGCCTGACACACGGAAGCACGGAGGTCAAAAATAAGTCTCCATTTCGGACTAATAAATGATGATGATGAAATAAATGCCATTATAATAGAGCAAATACGTTCTAAGCATTGTAACTATGGTAACCATCATGTACTCACTTTCTTTGGTTGGTAAGATGTTCTTTTCCTGTGTTTCCACATGCTTCAGTTTAGAAGCATCAAATTTGGAGACTTCACTGATGTCTGGTTTGTCATCTGGCTGTAGTTCAGCTCTCATATCTGCAAAATGAATATTTTATTTCAAAAGTTGTCCATGGGCACAAGGGCTCATTTACATGACACGTAATCATATTGTTGACCAAGGACTTTAATTATTCAATTATTAATAATATAATTATTTATTTCTGGTAAATTATAGGTGTAGAGATGATAGTAGAAATATGACAAATAAATAAGATTTTGCTGGGGCATATTGAAAAATTTGGCCTTTAATGTGTACTTTGCCACTACTTTGCCGTACTTTGCCACTACTTTGCAGTACTTTGCCACTACTTTGCAGTACTTTGCTGTACTTTGCAGTACTCTGCCACTACTTTGCAGTACTTTGCAGTACTTTGCTGTACTTTGCTGCTACTTTGCCACTACTTTGCCGTACTTTGCCACTACTTTGCAGTACTCTGCCACTACTTTGCCGTACTTTGCCACTACTTTTCAGTACTTTACCACTACTTTGCCACTACTTTGCTGTACTTTGCCACTACTTTGCCACTACTTTGCCGTACTTTGCCACTACTGTGTTAGCCTTTAATGTGTTAGCCTAGAATCAGTTTGGCAACTCGCTATACAGGACTCGCCTACTGGTAATACTGATTGGTTGAATGACTGACTATTGCCCTTTGTTTTTCTTAAGACTATGGGGAGTTCCCATTATGTGACATCTGTATGCATATAATGTAGTATTGATGTTAGTGGAGTGGATAACAATGAATGAAACTCGGCTACCAATGTGTTTGTATCAATCTCACCTTGAGGAGTCGGTAAAAGATTTTTTTCTTCTGTTTCTACATGTTTCAGTTTGCTCTGATCAAAGCTTTTGACTTCAGCACGAGAATCGATTGCTTCAGCCTTGATATCTAGTGAAATAAGTATTGTAATATAAATCATATGAACAAGGAGAGGAAGATTTTGTGATGTACTTTTATTAGACAAAGTCTGAAAACTCAGACTTATGTGCATGCGTGCATGTGTTTGTCCAGCCACATCTCACACATGCTTGGGCCGATCAACTTGAAATTTCACATATACATAAAACATATCAGACATAAGCACATGCATTTGTTACATGAATGATTCAAGATGCCTGAATGGCAACCATTCTAATGCCAAAAATGCATCAAAATTGCACATTTTCACAATTCCAGAACCAAATCTTGCTGTGCATAGACATATTCTGTCAAAAGTGGTATATGTATATGTTGAACATAATAGGACTTAGATGCACCTCATTTTAATTTTCAGATTGGGCTCAAAATGGCTGATTGACCATTTTGTTTTAAAAAATGCAGTTTCAGATTCATATATATCTGACATACCTGGACCAATCAAGTCAAACTTCACACATACATCAGACATCATATCAAACAAACACACATACATACATTTTTGTCACCATCATCCAAATTGTCAGTCATCTTGTTTGAACGAATGCAATCCCATGGAGCAATATTTCATACATGCCTGGACCAATCAAGTTTAAACTTCACACACACACATCTATAATACATTGACAATGACTTATGTGTAACCTCAATGTATTTTAACTTACCATCATTTGAAGGCAAGACATTTTTCTCCTGCGTTTCCACATGTTTCAGGTTTTCAGCATTGAATTTTTTTACTTCGCTGATATCTGGTTTGTCATCAGGCTGCATTTCAGCTCGAATTGCTACAAAAAAATAAGGTATCAAAATAAAATTAATGGCACATGCATGCTCATTAATTTTGGAAAATAAATCTACAAAACACATTTATATTTATGAAATGAAATCAAACTTTGTCAAATCTTCGCAACACTTTATATCACATCAGTATGAAGCAAATTGTTTGTAAATGAAAAAAGTTGACGCAGACAACAAGAACAGGACAGACATTGTACCTTTTTCTCTTAAGGATGTAGTAGACTTTCGTGGTGATTTTTTTCTTCATTTTTTTTTCTTTTATTAAATGGTGACTTATATCTATAGGCAGCCATATGACCTTGTTTTTTTTATTAAATCACGTTTTTATTTCAAGAAAAAACGGCTTTTTAAAAAATAAAAAAATAATTTACAATTAACGGAAATCCCGCGGAATGTGCACTTCGGCTAAGCCCCTCGAGCCAAAACAATAACATTTGTAATTAGCTTAATCCCGCAAATAAACATCGCGTGTACGCGTCCGGTCAAATTCAAATGACCGGATACACTCACTCGTTGTTGATAGTTCATCGCATCGCTTTTCTCTACTATTTATTATTGTTCATTTATTTTGTTTTGACCAAGTTTATTTTGAAAAATGGCACAGGGAAAAAATTGGAAAAAGAGTGTTCCAAAGACAGGCGAAACCTGCAAGTTTCTGAATAGCAGAAACCGTATTTTTTACTACGAAACACAGTCTCTCTACGAAACAAAGTCGGACGAGTCGACAACAGACAAGTCGAGTGAAAACCAAAGTGGCATCTGCTCTACCGCACTGGAGACTGAAGACACCACCGTAACTACCTCGAATGCTG